GGTGTCAGGGTGTGTATCCATTTCCTAGGACTACAGTAACAAAGTACCTCAAGTTGGGTGGCTTAACCAACAGAAACTTATTGCTTATAGTTATGGAGGCTGTAAGTCAAAAATCAGAGTTTCAGCAGTAGCATGCTCCTCCAAAACCTATAGAAGAATCTTTCCCTGATTCTTTCTGGTTTCTGGTGGTTTGCTGGCAATCTTTGGTGTTCCTTGACTTGTAGATGTCAAGGAACTCCAATCCTCTGTCTTCACATGGCGTTCTCCTTGTCTATGTCCTCATATGGCCATTTTCTTATGAGGACACTGGTCACACTGTATTGGGAGCCCACCCTACTGTAGCACCTCATCTGGACTAGTTATGTCCGTAACCACCCTATTTCCAAATAAGGTCACATTCTGAGCTGCTGGGGGTTAGAACTTCAACATGTTTTTTGTGGGGGACATAATTCAATACATAACAGGGTGCATCTGCCTTAAGTTCCTGATTCTGACTCATCTCTTGTTTTAAAAAAAAAATCTTGGAAATATGATTGGTTATATAGCTGCTCCTTGGTAAAATTTTCCTAGTTAAGTGTTTATCACTCTTAGTTCCTGTTCCTATTTTTTTCCTGATAACTTTGTATAAATTCTGATCTGGTTACAAAGTTGTGACATAGTTAATAATGTGATTTTCATTTAAAATGCCAAGTTATCTTACTATACATCAGAATGCTTCTTAAGAAGTGATTATGGTTATTAAATAGGACAACGATTTTGAATTCAGCGTATAATACCTCATCTTTACTTCAAACTTATTTTTTAAAGCGTTACTAATTTCCCAATACTTAGGGTACATACTAATGCTACGTTAGAAATAATGAACTCCAATATTTTAAAGTGACTTCTAAAACAAATGTTAGAACATGTTAACCAGTCATGACATATTGGATATTTCATTAAAACATGGGGCCTGGGAACAGAATGAAAAATTACATTTAAGGACCTAGCAGGACTTCGCTAAACTTCTTCTCTAATACGAATAGACTGAGTGGGTGGAGAAGCTCACAGGTAATTCCATTTGACAGACCTGTTTCATTTTCTCTTTCAAGTTTACCATTAAAACTTGGTTTGAAAAGAACAAGAGGGCTTCAAAAATGTACTTACAAATATGTCATTTAGTAAAAGTTAAAAGACAGACTAACTGTTTCATAATATGCAGTTCCAAAAATATCACTACTAGAATTAGCCGTTTGGAAGCTTGTCCAATTCATTAAGAAGAAAATAAATGTAGGTTTCGCTTCTTTACCTGTTGATTTAATATAGTACATGGGGAATTAAAGGAGCGTAGAAAACCTTTAGTTGTCTCCCTTGAACTATAAGTACAGGATTCTGGTGCTGACATCGCGATGGTATTTCATGCCCGTGCATGACCACTGACTTGAGTAAAGTCTTAGTTATCACAGCAGATTCTGTCTGGCACCCATAATTCAGGACAGTCAGTCTTAAATAACAATGAGTGAAAGGGCTGGTTACAGCAGTGGATTTCATATACTCTTTTTTTTTTCAGGTCTATGATTTAAATTTTTTTTTAATTGGAAGGAATTAGTTTGTGATTGATTGATTGAGTGATTGGAGGCACTGGGGACTGAACCCTGTATAGCTCTACCATTGAGCTATACCCTTCCCCCAATTTCATATACTCTTGATTCAGCTTAGCTTGGTTCCTCCTAGAGCTATCTTAAAATTTACATCAAGTAAGTTCTTCTTTGGGGTCCTTCACTGAATTATGAAACGCCCAAAAAATCTGCTACAGAGTGAAGTATTCATTTCCTATTCCCTTTATAGTTAAGTAAAAATGTATGGTGAGAAATGTTAAACTTAGCATTGATTTCCCAATCAGTCTTCATCTTACACTGAGATGGGTCTTTAAATGTTTGAACATAAGTTGATTTCCAGTTAACAGTGAGCATTATTTTAGAACATAATATGCTTAGCAGTGTATGTACTTGAGGAATGGCTTATATATCTGTCCTGTCATCAGTTCCGATTTTAACCATAGTCCCTTCCTGTGTAGAGCCAACTATCACACATTATTTGCGACATGCATTGTATTTACCATTAATCATCTTTTTAAATAGGATTGAATAGAAATATGCTCAAGCAGTACCATGAAAAACACTCTAGAGTATATATTCAATTTCAAAGGTGTTATGCCATGAAAATTAGACTCTACTCCCAGCTGTTATAATCATTCTGAATGAAACCCGCATGGAGGTACTACGGTACTTTACAGAACTAAATTTCCATAAGGGAAAAAAATCTGGAGAACATCTCAGTTTGTAATCAATAAAGGAAAAGAATCCCATAGAATTTCATCTTTAAACCACAGACAGACAGGGAAGCAGTATGTTGAGCTGAAAGTGAAGCCAGATTCAACCAATGTCAACTTCACTTAAAGCAATTACTGTATTTCTTTAAAGTTCAGTAGGCTCTCAAATCACAATTTAATGGCATGACTAGAGCTATATAATAGGGACACAAAAGCAGTTTTCTTAAAGGGAGGGGTAAGTCAGGTATACATTTAGAGTGGTTCAAAAACATCAGCAAAATAATCATAGTATTAGAAGATAGCATTACATGTTAGACTGAACATAAACTTTATAATATATAAACACTTAAACCTTCAGAGCAGGTCTGCAGTGGGAAGAAGACTGAGAGATAATTGGTTTGATTTGGGAAATACTAATGGACTAGTAGGACGACACCAGATTGTATCCAGGTGACTTTTGGAGGCAATAGATTGATTTACTACTATGTACATAGTTCTAGCAGTATTTTGTATTTAATTCTAAACGATATTACCTACATTCCTATCTTCTCATCTCACCATACACATACACACACAACCTGGAGAATCAGAAGTAAAAGAATGGTGGTTTTATATATTTATATTTCAAAACAAAATCCTGTTTTGTAAAAGAAATAGGTAGTTCATATGATTTCACATGCAAATAAAACGGGTTCTTTAAACTGTTCTTGAACACTGGCTAGAGTGAAAAACAAAAAAATTCACCCCATGCAAATGTAGATGTACATTTTAAAAGTCTGAGTTGAATAATTTCAGCTATTAGTCATAGGAAAGTTAACTGACTTAGAAAGTACGTAAAATCCAAGAAGTGTAAAATCATAAGTGATGCTATTAACTGTAGTAAAAAGTCAAGATAATTCAAAGTGGTTTTTATGTTCTTAAGTATTGTTTTAAATGGAAATATTCCTTTTCATTTCAGTGATAGTGTAGGGAACATACTGACCAATGTAAAACGCACCACTCAGGGCAGCAGTGGACAGGCTCCTCCGTATTCTCCCTTGTACACAGAAGCAAATGTTTACCTAGGGTTGATAGTAATGACAAATACGAATTAAAAGTAAGAGGTTTAATTTTCCTTGTGGAAAATAAGGAAAGAGGTTCTTCCTGCCCTTACCGCCTTCCTTTGAGAGTCTTTACATTTGAAAACTTGTAAATTCTTTCTCTGCTTCTGTGAAGTGCATGTAAGTCATTTTTAAAGCTAAAAGACTCTTACCAGCTTGTTCAGGGACCTGGGAGCCATCTCTTTGAAATATAACCATCAAGGAAGTTAGGGTCCCTCTCTCCTAGTTTCCGTGGGAGGGGAGAAGCCTAATTTTGATGGGAGCCTCACGCCAATGTGCAAGACGACCTCCCACCATAAGGACAGAAATACATGTTTCCTTTGGATATGCCGTTAGCTATCGCAATGGTCAGCCCAATTGTCAAGTGGACTTAGGGTTGCCTGTGACAGATGGTGCCTATTAAGTCCTCTTGTCTGAGGACTAGTTATTGTGCACCCTGAACACATGCATGGAATGGGTCGTATCTGCCGGGCTATGTAAAAGGGTGAAATTTCTTCCTGCCTCTACAATCTCTTAGCATATTGTCTGTGATGAGCACGTTCTGGTTTCACGCTTACTCAGTAATAACTACTTTCTTTCTGTTCTACCTTTGTGGAGAGGTTGTCTGGCTTGGGAGGAAATTTTGTTCTTAATTCTATTTCCCCAACAACAGTAGTTTCACTTCTAGGCAAGACATGGGCCAGGAATGTAAAGTGAATAGCAACTCCGGAGGGAAAACCTGGAGGAATCTATCAAGACAAATCGAGTTAACAGCAGATTATGACTATCTGTTCTTCCTACATGTTCTTCAAAACCAGAGATATAATCAAACTCATACATTTCTTGTGAATTTTGCTTTATCTTTTATGTTTCTTGGATACTAAGATTTGACACATGAATTGCCTCTTCTGTAAATGCTGGTTTTACATTATTTGCTCATTTTTACTCATTGCCTTCAAGTTATTTTTTATTATCCTGCTTAGTAATCCTCATCCATCTAAATGAATTGCAAATATTTTCTTTGATGTTGTTATAATTTTACATATATCATCTTGCTATACAAGACATACTGATGTAATCAAATGTGTCTATTTTTTCCCTCTTTGGCTTTAAGCATTTGGAGATTTAAGGATTTTTCTTAGCCCAAAGTCAAAAAATTTTTTGTTCCATACATGCTAAAGATTTTGTAGTTTTATTCCTTGTTTTTACATTTATTAATTTACAGATTGTATCACTTTGGGGAACTAAGCCATAGATATGACTTCCGTTTTCCAAATGCCTAGCCACTGTAGCAGCACTACTCAGAGATTAATCCAGCCTGTTAGAACCCTTAGGCTTCATTTTCTTCAGTGAATGAAAACAAATTGACTCCGCTGGTCCGCTGTTTAAGGGGTACAGATTTTTTAATAACATTGATTTATAAGTGGAAATTAAAGTGCTATATTTTAGGAATGTTCCTGCTTTATGTAAAATCATAGAATTCAAACTACATAACACTTTATTGCTACCCATAAGAGGTTTTCAAAATGAACATGAACAAAAAAAATTTTTTTAAGCGGATTTCTGAGCTCCATCCCCAGAAAACTATTTCAACTGTATAAAACTATCTGAAGTGAGGCTAAGTCTTCATTCAGCAATTAAGTGAATAAGAAATTTCATAGTATTCACTTCTTGCCTTTAACCATGTATGCAGCTTACCCTTGTAGAGGAACGAAATTTGCCAACCCAGAATATGTCTCTTTGGCGTGAGGATTATTTTAGGCTGATTATTTTTAAGCAACCCAAGACTCAGGAAGTCTTTTTTTTTTTTTTCCTTCCTTCTCCTTTAACTGCTGCCTAAGAGAATTTAAATAAAGGACCTGGTCCAGGAAGAACACCATCTCCTGAGACACCGACAAAGAATATGGCCTGGGCTAGGCATGGTGAGGGGAACTGGCAGGGCCTGGAGACCAGAGTCCTCTCTGTGTCTCACTGTCTCTGCACAGCGGCAGAGTAAACATTTGTTTCCCTTCAGTCTCCATGTGAATTGCTTTCCTCCGTCTTGAAGCCCCATGCCCCTGCCTGCTTCTCCTCCTCTCAGATGGCAGACAAGCCTCAATTGCCTAAATTGTCCTTGGATCTCATTTTTCTTATAGGGCCCCAAGTGTACATAATTAAATTCTTCTTCTTTTAATCTGTCTCATGTCAATTTAATTCTCAGATCAGCCAGAAGAACCTAGAAAGGGTAGAGGAAATTTTTTACTTCTCCAGCACCCTAAATCCAAGTTTCATGTTCAACTTGTAGAAACAGATTGTAGTGAGAATTTAAAGTAAAGCAAAATATTCACTCAGTTTCACTTCTAAAGTGTAGGAAATGATAAATAGACTAAAATACCCCTCACTGACGTACAGGACCCTGAGTGTTTACAGAAAGCAATTTTTTAAAATGTATTTATTTTATTTATTTTCCTGGGGATTGAACCCAGGACCTCATGCATGCTAAGCACGCACTCTATCACTAAGCTATCACTCTCCCCAGAAAAAGAATTATTTAAGTATTGTCAATCCTTAAAATTATTCTAAGAGAAGATAACAAATGTGGCAAAGAAAATGCAAAACTCTCCACTTTGAATCCACTGCTAAATCACTTTAAACATGATAATTTCTTGTAAAAAATAAAAATCAATATACGAAAAAAGAACATTCCAAGCAGTGGAATTCAGTCTTTCAGTGACTACCTAGAATAAACTTTGTATTTCTAACATTTTGGTTTGGGTATGAATATTTCAAAATACTTATAATATTGGATTCTGGAGTTTAAGAAAGGTTAAAAAGTTGAACTTTGTACTCAATCTAAAAAAATTTTAAAATATGACACATATGTTTCCTAGAAAGCAAGATTTGATGCATTTTTTCTAAAACTTAAAAGGGTTCTATTAATTAAATGAGTATTACTTAATTCAGGGTCTGCTCTGTATTCTGTGGCCTCAGAGACTCTGATTCTATAGGGGATACATGTCCAAAGAGGTTAAGGAGTTTATTTACTTAAATATATAACATATAAACAAACTTGCGATTCCTACCAAAGCTTAGGCTTAATGAGAAGAGCAAGCTACGTTTTATAGTCCATGACAATTACTACTTATTCTCAGAACACATCTGTCAGCGCAAGTGAAATTTGCCGTTTTTTTCTCTGCTCAATAAATGTATAGATCTCTCCTGTCCAAGTTCATACTTAATGTACAAGACCTCATTCTGCATTGGCTCTGGTCTGTCGCAAACATTTCTGAAATTCCTTTGAAAGAGATAAACTGGACCTTTCACATGATATCAAGTCTCTTAAAAATAAAAGGCAGAAATGAACAGACACAAACTTTTCTAAGGCAGAAAAGTATATACCCCATGTTACCTTTCTAGAACTACATGAATTCAAAACAAAGATTTCAGTCAAAATATTTATTCTTTTCCTTAATTGGGCTAAATGACAAAACATATATTGTGAGCCTGCTTTAAGTTTCTCATGTATTACACTTTAAATGTTCAAAACTTTGTGTAAAACCACACATGACTTAGCTTCTTCCACAATGCACATACAGAATCTCAATTTAATTGGATGTTTTGAAATAAATTCTCTCCTTAACCATTATTATTATAGCCTTGAAAATCTAGCTCCAGTTAGAACTGTGACAGCAGTTATGAGTCAGGCCCTCAGCTCTAAACACAAACACACAGGAAGAGGAGAGGAGAGGACAGACTGGGGAGAGAGAAGAAGAAACGTGCATTTATGATGTTTGCAACTGGTAGCAGCTAGATCAGGGTACCAGTGTGGTGCGAGTGCTTCTGAGTCATCAAGAAGGGCATTTTAATTGTTTAAGAGGAATAACCACATGCCACACTAGCTAGGACTGGTTAAATTACAATATGCAAGGATAACAATTTTACATGAGTACCCAAGTTTTGACTAGAAAAATAAAAGATGGCTAAACAGGAACTTCCAGCTTCTGTGGCTAAGAGTCCAAAAGCCTCCCTCGAATGTGAGCATGGAACCCAGAGACAAAAATACAGACTCACGGGATCACCCTAAGGCTGCAGGGGAAGTTTTATTACCACCCCAGTGCTCACACTGAAAGCCGCACCTTGTAAGCCTTAACAAATCTTGAGGAAGTGTCATTTTAAAAGACGTTAAAGAGGACATAAACATTATCCTGAATGTGATGGCAACCACCAAAGGGGCCCAGGTGTTCACGTGCGAAGGTGCAGATTGGCCGGCCGGACTCCTTCACCAGCGGGCCCCTTCATCGCAGGCTGTCCTCCTGTCAACGGGCAGCCCGGGGAAGACTCACAGAGCAGCCAGCCGCCACCCACGATCCTTTCTCGTGCATTACTTCGTTCCAAGCAAGCCAGGCTGCATCCGCACGAGAGAAGCAGACGCCAAGTCAGCAACACTGGGGTTTGTTTTCCTTTTTCAGGGTCTCCGGATCCAGTTTAATACTGCCTTCGATTTCTTCACTGGGGAAGCTTTGGTGGTTCGCGAGAATGTTCTCCACTAGGAACCGGGCTGCTTCATCTATGTTTATGTTATCCTGTAGGGCAGAAACGAGGACGAGGATCAGTTCTCAGGATTAATTCTTAGAAGAAAGCATTAAGAGTATTAACGGAAACTGGGAAGGTTTGTCAGAGGGGCGCGTTCTAAGTACGCGAGCTCCGTCTTCTGTTCCAGTACTGCAGTGACTGTGGAACCCTGGCCTTTCTACAAAGGATCACTCTTTCTGATGTTCCTGTTTTAGTGTTTTAAACTTTTGCCACTGGGGTTCAATGAACTACCTCCACGGTTGAAGATGAGTCTTCTCCCCGCTCTAGATTGCCGGCCACGTAAGTGAAAGCACAGAGGTTAAGAAAGTCCTGCCCTTGAACGTCTACTTCAAGTACTCGGGGCAACTATGGAAAAAAATGTTGAAGGGCTCAATCCACATTAAAATATGATAAATGCAACATGTGGCCTCCCCGTCTCTGAGTACAAATCATGACTTTTAGTTGACATGTATAAACTGAGCTGAAACAACGTTGGAGGTGTGATGTCCATTAAAGATGCCCTGAGGAGTCACCAGCTATCACGGCCATTTGGGTGACTGATTTACAAGCTGTCACTATATACGATAAGTAACACATAGCAAAAATTGGGTTCATTTTTTTAAGTATTCAACTTTTCAATTTAAAATATTTTCAGATTTACAAAGACATTGTAAAAATAGTAAAAATTCCTACAGACGCTTTACCCTTATTTCTCAAATGTTAACATCTTAGATAACAAGAGCGTAACTACCGAAATCAGGAAATTAGATGATGGTGTTGTGCTGGCATTGCTCTATTGGCCTGGTTCGAATTTCACCGCCTATCTCAACATCCTGTTTCTGATCCAATGAGCAGCTGTACTCTGTGTCCTGTCTCCTTGGCCTCCATGAATCTGAAACAGGTCCTCGGTCGCCTCGCCTTTCATGACCCTGACAACCTTGGAGAGCACTGGCCAGAGAATATCCCTCAGTTTGGGTTTGTCTGATGTGTCCGTATCATTAAATTCAAGTCACACACTGTTGGCAGGAATCAGATGTAAGTGATGTGCCCTTTTCAGTGTATGAGGGTGCACACTTGCTTGAAGTTGTGTTTGCCAGGCTTCTCCACTGAAAAGTTACTATTTTTCACTTTGTACTTAAGCATCAATTACTTCTTCCCTAAAACAATTATTACTGTTGTGTTTAGTGGTGACTTTCTATTTCCGTCATTCCTTCTCCATTTATTAGTTGGAATGCTACAGTTAAGAAGAGCTGTCTCCTCTCTCTCATTATTCACATGTTTATTCGTATCATGGATTACTGTTTTATTTTATGGATTAAATCCATTACAATAATTATTTACTTTGGTGCTAAGATTGTCTTGGATTTTGGAGCTCTAATAAGCAGGCTCCTGTGTCTTTCTGGCATGTCTCCATCACTTTGTGTTTCCTTAGCTTCTGGCACCACAAAATATCTCAGGCGTGTCTTTACTTTCTTTGTCTCACTAGTCCTGGAATCAGTCACTTCTCCAGGGAACCCTGGTTCTTTTCATTGGATAACAGTTTTGAAAAGCCAGATTCTGAGGACATGGTAAGCTCACTGGTTCTGTGGTGTCATTGCTTCTAAACCTTTTCAGCAGACAGATCTAGTAAATATCTGTAAGTATCCATACACACATGGGTATCTACTTGTGTTTATCTGTTAATATATATACGTTTGCATGTGTGCATGTATATGCATGGGTGTGTATATTCACACACAAAAACACAGAATTTATATATATATGTGCATACATGTATGCATACTTGGTATTAAGTTCATATGACCTCTCCAATTCCAATCCAATCCACGAGCATCATCCCAGCCTTCTCCTGTAATTGTTACCCCTCTCTCAGACAGTGATAAACCTTGCAAGACCTGTGCTGTTTATTCAGGTTATCTTTTCTAGCACCAACACAAGCTTTTTAACCTCCACTCCCAAGACAAGTATTAACTCTAATTAAATTATTGATCTTTGAATGCCCAATGTCACTCGGTCCTCACCAACCCCATTATACCAAGCAACTGTAACGTTCTCTACCGCTCTTAGTTGTAATTGATTAGGAACAGAAATTCCCGTGTTGTGCTGTAATCAGTCACACATTTTCATGTTGGGAATCCATTATTTGCCATAAAGATGGAAGATGAAGTTCATGAATTCAAACTTGCCTTGTGGCTATGTTCCTATTAGAATTCAGATCACTGAAATTCTAGCAGAAGCCAGATTTGAAGTTAACTGCTGGCCAGCTCAGAAGCATAGGTGTTAGTGACACTTGGGTAGCATTTTAAGCACGGACTAAAATTTTTAACCTAAATTTTATATTACTGTTATTCTCTTGAAACTCTCCTGGTTTTCCACTAAGGAAATCCTGCAGATGGTTTCTAATAAATTTGTAGGAAAGCACAAAACATGAATATTTCCCTTCTCACCTCTAGATGTAACACTGTCTATAAATATAATGAAGCTGACGGCTTACACAGTCTTGGGCTACAGGCCACATGACGCTACTGTTTATGAATCTTCTGTCTAGATTTTGGGGAGAAATCTGGATTTATTACCTGAATGATTAATTCAAATAAAACCTAAAGAGGAAAATTTATCTGTAATGCATTCATCTTCTCCACCAAATCTCATGCTCTAATAAACATTTACACACACCACTAATTTTTTTTTCCAACAAAGTTGGAAGTAAAGCAAATCCCCTGATGGATGCAGACAGCACAGAGCAAGTGCCTCTGTACAAAGCCTCCCCCTGCAGTCCCTCCCTCCCTGTTTGGCTCAGTGCTCCTGCAGCATCTCTGGGCTTTGTCTCTCTTCTGCCACTACTTTTTATTTATGAATCTAAATTTTAAGATACTAGAAAATATTTGTTTAAACAAATAGCCTTTAGCTTAGCCTTTAACTTCTGCCTCCAACAGGCTTTTTTTTTTTCAATGACCCCATCATCACATTTTCAGAGTACTTTTTGTGTAATCTCTCATAGCTCTGCTTTCATAATTCTGATCACCAGTGGCAGCAAATGATCTTCCACTTTTAGGGATTCTGGTAAAGCTAAAATTAACTTGGTATTAAGTATGTAGGTGATTTGGAGGACCATGTGAGTTTTTATACATATATATATATATCACACAAGAAATTCACAGAAGGCTTACTAAAAGCTGGAACTGTGTTAAGATTATACCAAATGGTGTCAAGTTTGTCATAACAGAAATGGGGCAATATTTCATCTCTCTTACAGAAGTCTTAATGGTTATTTGACCTCTAAAGTAAGATTTCCAATGGACATAGCTAATCGCCTTCCTGCTCAATATTTTGGGCTTGGGGTTTTCACTCTTGCTTTCCTGTGTATCTAGACTATTAAGATTTTCAACAGCCAACTTAAGCGTGTTTGTTTTTCTTCAAAAAACATTTTATCCAGCTTCTCATAATGGACAAAAGAAAAAATTCTCTCACTCTACTATTCATGGAGAGGTATGTCACAAATGTTGATACTTTAGTCTTGTTCAAATTCTTTCCCACACGCTTCATCTAACACTCTTCAAACATCATCTGAATAACACCTCCTCTCTTACCTTTTCAGTGCCTTTGTTAGTCCTGCATGTGACTTTCATCTTCACTTGGGCCATCTATGTCCCTGTGTTTTGTTAAGCCTTCTATAAAAATAAAAAATACTTGTGCTGGACAGTACATCTCATCCCCCATAGACTCCAGTTGCATGAAGAGTACTTCATTTAAGGACTCAGACTCGCAGAAAGTGTAATTTGTTCTTTGCTCTAATAATACTCAATTTTACTTTTAACGTAAAACCTGCCCTTCTCTTCACCCCGCCACTAGCCAGTCCTGAAAGCATGCCTGCTGCTGACTGAAAGGAGCTGTAACATATCCACGCTATGCTTCACTTTCTTCTAGGCTTCGCCAAACCGCTCAGGCAAACCCAGCTAAATACTTCATGGCTATAGTTCAGATTTACAAGTTAACAGCAGAGCAGATACAAACGCGAAGCAGACCTCACCTTTGCGGAGGTTTCAAACCATCCACTGAAGCCATGTTCTTTGCAGAACTGGTCCATCTGGGGAGGATTCTGGCCACCGTCCTTTCTCTGGTCACATTTGTTAGCTAAGAGGACAGCAGGAATGGGGCTGCCATTTGGAAGATGGACTTTACTATCCAGATCACTTTTCCATTTTAAAACGGCTTCAAATGTGGAACCTCTCGATACATCAAACACGACAAAAGCACCGACAGCTTCTTTATAATACACTCGGGTCATGTTGCCAAACCGTTCCTGTCCTAGAAATACATATAATAAGAGATTAAAAATTTGTAATCCGGACAGGGTCTATATTTACATATAACCCTTCTGACCCTAAGAATAATGCTACAAACAATACCTGCCATCCGACAGCAACATACACTGGTGGGATTGAGGACACAGACACAGAACCAAGACCCACAGAGCAGAAGTGGCTGAGCACGTAGACCGAGTACACAGTCACCTGGTTTCATGTTCTTGGCATCTACACCACATTCTCCATAAACATCAAGATAACAGTTTGTAAAGCTGCAGAGGCCATCATTTGCCCCCCTCCACTCCCCCTGGTCTAAGAGAAGAAAGGTACTAAAGGAGAAAGGGAAGTTGGGAGCAGAAGGAAGAGACAAGAATAAGAGAAAATGACGCTTGCAGGAAGAAGGTAAGTGTGGTGGGTAGAATGCTAGTCAGAAAGATCAGGACAGGAGACGAGATAAAGGAGCTATGTTCTTCACTCCTCATTCTTCACATCTCAGCCAAACCCGCTTTTAACTCAAAATGCAAGACTGCTCTCCTCTAAGAAGGCAGATCTGCAAACCTACTGTTTTAGAACAAGTGGTTCAATTAATTGGTTGAATTGTTAAAGGAAGGATCAGCTGCAGAGTTGTTCAGATATCAATGTAATTTAAAATAATTTAACATGTAACATACTTTGGCTAAAAAATCGACTTAAATATATCATAGGACTTTGCAAAGCATTCTCTTACTATCTGACATTGTACCGTTCTTTGGCACAGGAAGAAGCCTTATCTCATATCTGACAGATGAAAAAACATGCAAAGGTTGCCAGGCCAGGAA